TTTTCACTCTCCCTAAATATCCAGTCATTTGCTAAATCTTGTCATTTCCTTCTCCACACATCTCTTGTTTATATCTTCTCTCCACTTGTATTACCACTGCCTTCATTCAGACCCTCATCTCCTTTTGCTTGGACTATGGCAATTAGTTTCAATGGATCATTTTCCCCCATTCTTATTTATCCTCCATATAGCTACCAAATTGATTTTCCTAAAATGCATGTCTGACCATGTCACCTCCCTACTCAGTAACCTCCAAAGGTTCCCTGTAGTCTCTAGGATGAAATAAGACATTCCCTGTTTGGCATTTAAAGCTCTTTGCAACCTTGCCTCTTCCTGTCTTTCCTGTCTTCTTGCACGTTACTCTCCAGGTACTTTATTGGCCAGCCACATTAGCCTGCTTGCTATTTATTACATACTCTACTCCATCCTTTGTCTTGGTACCCTTGCCATGGCTGTCCCTCATGATTAGAGTGTTCTCCTTCTTTACCTGCACCAGGGATTCACTTTGAAACCCTGTGGTTTCCTTCAGGGCTCAATTTAAAGGCCATACCTGTAGGAAGGCTCTAGGTCTCACTAGCTGCTACTGGCGTCATCCCCTCTTAAAGTTAATTTGTATCTACTTTGTGTGTAATATCTTGAATAAACAAATTTCTATTTCTCTCTCCACAGTTAAAGTGTATAGTCTTTGAGACCAGGGACAATCTTTCTTTGTATCCCAAGTAAATTAAATCTCATTAAACAGCCATCTTTAGTTTCTCAGTGTCTTAACATTTTCTCAGTCTTACAGTCAAGAATTCTAAACTAATACCCTGTTTGACAGGTGAAGAAATGGAGGCCCAAGGCATAGTAGCCCTCTAAGCCCACATAGCTTAAGTGCTGTCTGAGACCAGAGTCTAAGGCTCCAGGCTCCTAGTCCAATGCCTTGTTTACTACATCATGCTGCCTATACTAGTACTACTAGTATACATGCAGGAAGGTGGATGTTTTTAAATGTTCTTTCCATGCCTGATTTATAACATCATCTTATACTTTGAGGTGGGGATAGTTTTGGCTTAGTATTTAAATTTTAGGGGGCTACTGCCTTGGATCTTCACCATCAGCTTTAAATTTTAAATGTTTTACTTGTGTTGCATTATGATTTTGTTATTACTGTGTTAAATGTCTTTAGTTTTATTTTTCAAGGTTATACTTTTAAAATTCACATCCCATTAGTTCATTTGTAATTTGTATTCCTTTTTTCCGTTTTGTATTGCCATAACAGCAACAGCTGTGGTTGTAACAGTATGCTTCAAAAATGGGATGTCCCCATCTGTAACCACCCTCTTTGTTCACTTTTTAGAAATTGTTTTAAAATTTAGAAGTAAGTTCTCGTAGATGAGGCATTTTAGATTAAACTGTATTTTCCATGCAGGTTTGTCAGGATCCTTTCATTTTGGGATTTTGTGTGTAAAAACCCAGAACCTGTGGTGCCTTCTTGGCATTCTAATTTCGGACTTTACGTAAATGAAAATTGCTTGTGGTCCCTGCCCACCACATGAAGGTTTCCTAATTGCATGTATTCTGTATTGCCCTGAAGGAGGGAAGGTTTAGAGCTTTAGAAAAGTTCTGGCTATTGAATCATCCTCACCCTTTCTTTGACTATCTGGTATCTTTCTCCTGTTGTATATAGGGTCTAACAAAGTATAGCAAGTCATTGGGTTTGAGTAACAATTGTTTTTTCTCTCCATTAGCCGGCTCTATATATGAGATAGCTTCCAAACAATTCATTGTCCAAATGGCACAGGCTGTCTTGGGAGGTAATAGGTTCTTCATAACTGAAAGTTCTTCCAGCAGAGGCTGGATGGCCATTTGTCACGTATGCTAGAGAGAGGATTTCTGTGGGGTGAAGATTAGATAAGATAATATTTGAAACCCCTTTCAACCAAACTCATCTCTCCAGAGACACAAATTCTGCAGTTTTAGCTCTCTGGACTCTAAAATTCTGACCCAAATTTAGAGACCTAGATGGACTTTTAAAATGTACCTTTCTGAAACAAAAATGACTTTTTAACAGTTTTATTTGAAGTTTTGAGTTCCAAATTCTATCCCTTCCTTCGCCTTCTCCCTCCCTGAGATGGCAGGCAATCAGATATAGGTTATACATGTGCAATTATGTAAAACATTTCCATATTAATAATTTTGTACAAGAAGATTCGAACAGAAGAAAGTGAAAAATAACATGATTCAGTCTGTATTCAAGCAATATCAGTTCTTGGGGCAGCTAGGTGGTAGAGTGGATAGAGCACCGGCCTTGAAGTCAGGAGGACCTGAGTTCAAATCCGGCCTCAGACACATAACACTTACTAGCTGGTGACCCTGGGCAAGTCATTTAACCCCATTGCCCAACGAAAAAACAAAACAAAACAAAGGACAAACAATATCAGTTCTTTCTCAGGAGGCAGATAGTATGCTTCATCATTAGTGCTTTGGGATTGTCTTGGATCATTGTATTGCTGAGAATAGTTTAATCATTCACAGTTCTTCACCAAACAGTATTGCTGTTACTGTGTAGGATGTTCTGGTTCTGTTTACTTCACTATGCATCAGTTCATGTAAATCTTTCCAGATTTTTCTGAAATCATCTTGCTTGTCATTTCTTATAGCACAATAATATTCCATTACAATCATATACCACAGCTTGTTTAGCCATTCCCCAACTGATGGGCATCCCTTTAGTTTCCAATTCTTAGCCACCACAAAAAGAGCTGCTATCAATATTTTTGTACAAATAGGTCCTTTCCCCTTTGTTTGGATGGTTTTGGGGTATAGACCCAGCAGTGGTATTGGTGGATCAAAGGGTATGCACAGTTTTATAGCCTTTGGGGCATAGTTCAAAATTGTTCTCCAGAATGGTTGGATCAGTTCACAACTCCACCAGCAGTGCATTAGTGTCCCAGTTTTTCCACATCCTCTCTGACATCCAACATTTTCCTTTTTTGCCATATTAGCCAATCTCATAGGTGTGTATTCTAGGCATGGGGAATGGGCTGTGCAAAGACATAGAGATGAGAGATGGAATATCCTATGTGAGGAACAAGGCCTGTTTGGCTGAAATATAGAATGCATGCAAAGTAGTTAATAGGCTTGGCTAGTAGATTGGACCCAGCCAGATTGTGAAGGATTTGAAATTAGGTATTTCTGACTCCAGACCGAGGACACTTAGGATGAAGTGCACAGACCAGTAACTTGAAGCCTCACTTGAGGACAGATTGTACAATGGAAAGCTTTAATATAAAATATCTACAATTTCAGTCACCTGACATACATCATTCAGAATGCCTTTCCGTAATTTTTAAGTATATTAAAATATCTGAATTTCAAAGCAAATTGATTATAGTACACACTCACTGAACAAGTCACTTGTACCTTTTTTTTTTGATTAGGCAGTTAGGGTTAAGTGACTTGCTCAGAGTCACCCAGCTAGTGAGTCTATGTGTCTGAGGTAGGATTTTAACTCAGGTCCTCCTGACTTCAGGGCCGGTGTTCTATCCACTGCACCACCTAGCTGCCCCAACCTGTCACTTTTGTGTGGGCAACTTGCTAGTTTTAATAGAGCTACTCCTCTTCCCCCTCCCCCCCCTAAAAACTAAACTATACAATTAGTAACAATTAGGGCTTTTAGGGTATTACTGGATTAAGGGTGTTTAATGCAGGTAGAGGGTAACATTTTACTTGGCCATTACTTTAATGGGCATGGGAACATATAAGTAGCTATTTTTTATGACATTGGAGGATTTCATAGACTTGAAAGTATTGAGTTTCATACTACTTTAAAAGGCCATTTATAATTATTTTACAATTCAGAACTCAAGAGGTTTAAGCTCAGGGTCATAAAGGAAAATAGAAGTGGAATAATAACTGAACTCTATATTCATACCTATCCTCTAATCACTCACAGTATTTGTTTTCTGTTATTTTTTAATATTTGCCATAAATGCTCTGAGTGGTTTCATGTATTGCTTTTGCCTTTCTGACCTCATTATTATTCCTCATTAATGAACCTTAACTCTACAACTAAAATATCAGGGTATTTTAGGAGGGATTCCAGTAGGAAGCAGCTTTTAATTCTGAAACTCTTCTCGAGATTGTCATATATATTCATATGTATTTTATGCATGTGGGTGCTGGGTATATGTATCTTCTGTCTATATATACTGGGAAAAGAGACTTTGTGTGGTCAACATGAAATTACCATAATTCCATATCTTCTTGAAGTGCAAGGGTAGTTTTAATTTTTAAGAGAATGCAAAAACACAATTTTAATATGAACTCATAACCAAAAAAATCCAATAACATTGTATTTAACAGATTCTAATTTCTATTCTAATCTCTTAACAGCTCATCTCTCTCACCCCAACCCATAGTCCTTGGCTTAAAAAATTTACTTATAGTAGATAGGCAGCATATTGTAGAGGATAGAGAAAGAGATAGCTTCAAAATCTAAAAGACTTGGCCAAATCACTTAACCTCTCAGTTCCCCCAAGCAACTCTGTACAGAATTCCTTATATTTGTATTTTAATGGTGTTATATTATACCATTCTGTGGTTATATAGTACTGTTTATTCAGCCAATACCAACTGTTTAACATTTAGGATAATTTAATTTGTATGTAATTTACATGAAATTACTTTTATTTATTTTTATAAATTGCTTTTGGTTATAAGTTGCACTTTTAAGCACAGATGAATATTTTTGAATTTAGAGAGTATATTTGTGAAGAATCAAACTCATCTCAGATTCCTAGTTCAAATTTATAAATATGCCTGCTGAAAATATAGAAAAGATTCTCTACTTTTTATTCACATGAACCACCAAGAAAACATGAGTTCATTCGAGGTATTCAGGAGAAATAGAAGTTTCCTCAATGGGTATTTTCTCCATATTTGAATTCTCTGATCAGTTTTTGGTGTTATATGGCTAATATATTTATTAACCTCTCCTTTCTTTTTCCCCATTATAGATGTACCTTTCGATTTCCTAGTACGGTTATAAAGATCCAGTTCACATCTCTGTACCATAAAGAAGAAGCTCCACCATCTCCCCTTCGACCTCTTTATCCTCAAATTTCCCCTCTGAAGATCCACATTCCGGAGCCGGATCTCCGGAGCCTAGTCAGTCCCATTCCTTCTCCTACTGGCACTATCAGGTAAGAAGTAGTTTCCATAGGTGCTACTCTTTGGGTTAACCAAAATCATTATTAATTAATTAATATTATTAATTAATAGTTCTGAGAGACAGCACTGCATAGTGAATAAAGAATTGGCCTTGGAGTTAGGAAGACTGTATACATATACACATTCTCACCTGTGACGTGACCCTGGGCAAGTCAGTTACCCCATCAGTGCCCCAAACAACTTTCTAAGACTTTAAGTTCCAAATTAATTGCCAGTCTAATTGCATTGGTAGAGGGAGTTTCCTCCTTACCAGGACCAGGAATTCTCAACATCAATGAAATCTCTCTCTCTCTCTCTCTCTCTCTCTCTCTCTCTCTCACACACACACACACACACACACACACACACACACACACACACACACATATATTATCCAGAACACATATAAAGTAAGTAAGATGTGGTCTCTAGAAATTTGTCTAGAGAAAAAGGTGTATTTCACATTATATACGGAATACATATTCCTGAAAGTTGTTGTAAACTAAAATTTTCTGGGTATTTAAATCCATGTTAAATACTTTTGTAAAGTGAGGTACTGCTCTCTTAGTTTTATTAACTTAATATTCTCAACAAATTCTCTTAGATGAGAGATACAGTTTATAGTCTTTCTTCCTCTCTGTCTTCCTGCCATTCTCTATGACCACCTTATTCATGTGGATGACCCTTTTGACTCCTATTTCCTTTACTTCTGCAGCTTCTCCGACTTCCATTCCCACTGTGCTTCAGCCACCCACTGGAATGGTCACAACTTCAATCTTGCCATCAGTCAAAACTGCTTTCCTTCTAAGATCTTGAACTCTGTGATCCCATTATTGGATTTTCAGTCTGTTGTCATTTTACTATTCCTATACTCTTATTCATCCTGAAGCAGCCCTTTATACTTATCAGAGTCTCTGGTTCTTCCCTTTTCTTCTTAACAGTAACCCCAGTTCTGATGTCATTTTCCTTTACATAGTTTTGATCTGTTGTAAGCAACTTCACTGCTTCTCTTACTTCTACTCTTAAAGAATCCTTCTGACACGCTTATCCTTCTAATGTTCTTATTCTGCTAATCTCCAATCCCAGGTAACCACTACATTCCAATCTTCATTTATATTCACTCCCAAGTAACTGACCGTAGTTGAAAAGAGCCACAAAATTCTGCATACGTGGTTGACTACAGGTTTACTTTGTTTAACTTGAGTTGAATTTTTACTACTGCACAACAGTCCTTGCATTCACCCCTTATGGATTCCTTATCACATTCATCACTATTCTAAGCCTCCATTTTCCTCAGACTGCCAACTGGACTCCTTCTTTTATCTCTCTCATCAGATGACCCTCTTACCTTACTGAAAACATTGAGTCTTTCTGGCCTGAGCTCTCTCAACTCTCCCCTTCCACATATCAAAAATTTTAACTGTCCATACCCATATATTTTTTTCCTTCTGCCAGTCTCCAGATCAGACTGTCTTCCTCCTTGACATGTTGGTTCCCTCAATCTGTCCCTCTGAGTTTCCCCTTCTCATTTCTGATACCTTAGACCAGCAGTCATCTTCACTCTCTCGTCTTGAACCTCTTCCTCTCTTTTGCCTCCTTCCTCCTCCCAACAAACATGCTTAGGTCTCTATTATTCTAAAAAACCTTCCTTTGACTGTGTCCACTTCCCCTTCCCCTTCCCCTCAAACTATCAACATCTCTCTTTACTCACTTTCTTAGAAAAAGTAGTCTAGACTTGCTACCAAAGTCCAGTGAAGGTTTTTCTGTCTTCATTGTCCTTAACCTGTCTGTGAGTCTTTGACATTGTAGACAGCCTCTTCCTATTTAAACTTTCTTCTCCTTTGGCAGATGGTGAGCATTTAATAAATGCTTTTATTCATTCATTCATTCATTCATTCTGTATTATAGTACTCTAGGCTCTCTGGCTAAGCATCAGATCATTCCTTTTTTGTCTCTTTCACTGGCTGTTCCCTCCTTTTTATTTTCTCCTGTTCTCATGTGGAGTTTTCTCAAGATTCCATCCTTCTTCTTGTATACAGTTTCCCTGGCCAATTTCATCCATGTCTTTGGTTTCAATTAATACCTCTGAGGAGACAGCTCTCAAATCTTTAGCTCTGATCTTTTTTTCCTAAGCTTCAGTTCTGTGTTTTCAAATACCTAGTAGACAAGCCTCTCTTATTGACCTGCCATCTCCTTGTATATAAAATGATTAAAAGTGAAGTCATCAATTTTCTCTCAAAATCTATTCTTTCTTCTAATTTTCCTGTTCTATTAATGGCATTACTGTTCTTTCAGTTACCCACGTTCAGGAACCTAAGCCATCTTGGATTCTTTCTCCTTCATTTTCCAAATCTAATTACTTAAGTTCTGTTGCATCTACTTTTGCTATCTCTTATATCCACCCCAAATCCCCACTCTTACTACCAGTACCTTATTTCAGGCCCTATTACCTCTCACTTGGACAATTTTAATAAACTAGTTAAGTCTTCCTGCCTCTGGTCACTATTTCAGTCTCTCCTTTTTACCACTTCCAGAATAATCTTCCTAATACATAGGTCTGATCATGAATCTCTTTTCAAAAACCTGCATTGATTCCCTGTTGCTTAATGAATAAAACACAAACTTTGCATGCTGCTATCCTTTATGTCCCAGCCAAATCGAATTCTTTACCATTTCTTAATCCATCTAGATCTCCCTTGCTTCTCTGCATTTATGTATGAAGTCCCCCATACCTGCAATAATGCTCTACTCTTTTCTTTTCATTACCACTACTGTAGACTTTACTTGTTGAAGTCCTTTCATTCCTTCAAATCCTACTCTGGTTCCATCCCTGTGAAGCTTTCCTCAAGCCCTCCAGTTATAAGCAATCTCTTTGCCTCAGACCACTCTGTTTGGATCTCTTCTATGTACTTAAAGTATAAGTACAGTACAAATACAGAGAAAGACAATCAGTATTTGAATTGCCCGCCACAAGACTGGATTGATAATTAGCATTTGTCTTGTCCCTCTATCAGACTGTAAGCTCCTTGTATCACCCTTAACTCTTGCCAGTACAGTGAACCTACACATAATAACTTAATAATTGTTGGTTGAATTGGGGGAAATGTTTAATTGATATGGTTTGTTCACCCAACTTGTTTGGGAAACTTTTAACTAAAGTGGAAAGCCATTCCAGAAATCTGTAATATAGTATAAGTAAAGAATCTAATAGAAAAGACAAATGAAAAAACCAAAATGAGTTGTTACTATTGAAGTGACTGACACCTGTGTGGTCTTGGTTTTATGGGATATATCTCCAGTTAGAAGTCAACCTGTGTTGCTGTAATTTCGTCTAGCAAATAAATTGACAGGCTTATTTCAGTGGGACAGGAATATATAGATGAATTGACTGAAATGCCAGAAAATTTCAGTATTAATTTTAGGCAAGAAGTTTGGACTACCCTTGAGAGTATATGAATGGGATTTATATCAGTTAATTCTAAAGAGTAACAAAACTATTGTTCTTCTCCCTAGTAGGGCTAGGCAGATTCTGGAAGATGTTTGCCCATGGCAAATTCTACTTTATATTACAAGCTATTTCTCTTATTCATTTTTCCTTTTAGATACTCCCAGCAATTCTGGCCCAGCAATGAATATGTAATTACTATAGCGTAGTAATCCTCAATAACTTCCCTTTTCCTTTTCCTACTCTAAACCAACCTTCCCAGACCCTGACTTCTCATCTAAATCAAAGAGAGAAAAATATAAATTAGTTACCATTACAGTACGAGCCACTATGCATCAAAAATATTTCAAGCCCAAGACATTGGCTCACCTCTTTCAGTACTTGATTTTAGAAAATCCGTAAATAATGAAAGATTTTGTTTTAATAGATTTAATCTTCAGTAGGTTAAATGTCTTTTGAATTTTAAAACCACTGATTATATTAACACTTTCAAAAATATGTGTGACTATAGTTTAAATCATGGAGGTCATTTTAGTTTGCAATTCAGAAAATGTACCGTTTGAGAGAACATCTTTAAAAACTGTTTGAAACTGTAGTTAACATTCAAATATTTTAAATGTCTGCTCTGAATAAGTAACTAGGAATCTTGGTGAAGAAACTTTTATTACTTTGAATTTATATAACACCTTCTTCATAATAACTAAAAAGGATTAGATTATTGGTCCTTATATAATAGCCAGGACTATAGTATTTAGCTTCCTGATTTGCATTAATACAACATCTCTTGTTTGCTTTTGGTTTTCATATCCTGGTGAAATAGTGACAACTTAGAAATCTTATAATAATTATGGAGATAGCCTGGTATGCAGGACCTGGGTTTAAATCCTTCTCTGATGTTTATTTCCTGTCTGACTTGAGCAAAACATTTTGCTTCCATGGAGCTCAGGTCCCTTATCTGTAAAATAAGAGGGTTAGACTTGATGTCTTTTGAAATACCTATCAGTTCTAGAGCTTTGATCCTAAAATGATAACGTGTGTCTATGTATACATACACATTCGTGAGAGTATTGTGGTGTCATGAGAGAAAGAGCTGACCTTCTACACTGGAGAACCGGAGTTGAAGTGCAGCTTCTGAAATGTTCTGGCTTTGGCTCATAAGGAAGCCTTCAGACAAGAATTCAGATAATTACTTGTTTAGAAATGTTAAAAATAAGCATGCACTGATTTGGATGCTGGAAGTTCCCTTCCATATAAGAGAGTTTGATTATTTTATGAAGTGCTAATGCACAGTGGGAAAATAGATGCCAAGTTTCAGTTCAAGAAGCAATGGTTCAACAGTTCAGTCTAACAGATGACAGTTGAGCAGTTATTATATGCAAGAAACTATCATAGGTTAGGGATAAAAAAATGAAATAAGACACAGACTGTAATCTTAAAATCCTTGGAATCAAGATCATTGTCAAAAATGGTTGAAACCAGATTAAGAATTTTTAGGAACATTGTGACCTTGGGTAAATCAGTTAGCTTCTGTGAGCCTCTGTTTCCTCA